ATTCAGAAGACTGCAGCTATGGGCAGCTGGTGATTGGCAGCTTTATCATGACAACATGCCCTCTCATGCATCACATCTTGTGCAGAGTATTTTGGCATAACATCAGGTGACTCAGTACCCCTACAACCCAGATTTGGCACCCTGTGAATTCTGGCTTTTCCCAAAATTAAGATCACCTTTGAAAGGGAAGAGATGTGAGAACTTCAGTGAGATTCAGGAAACTATGACAGGGCAGCTGATGGCAATTGAGAGACCTGTGTGAGGTCCCAAGGTGCCTACTTAGAAGGGTTGAGGTGTCATTGTCCTTTGTATAATGTTTCTTGTATCTTCTTTAATAAGTGCCTCTATTTTTCATATTACATGGCTGGATCCCTTCTGGACAGACCTTGTGCAATTATGTAAAATTCACAGAATGTAAACTTTTGTCTTATTTATTTATGCAAAATTAGCATTTAATACATATATGTCAAATATATAATAACCACAAAAGTTTTAGTGGACCACATTACTAGGTGTTCTGATGTGGAGCTATTTTTGCATTCTTAGGTTTCACCTTGTTTGTTATTGATATATTAGTCTTTTCATATGCACATTATTGAATTCTGATACCTACTGTGGTTAGACTTTATACAGGTGTGATCATGAAGAGGCTGGTGTAATTCTCTCCAGCTCTCCTTTGTGTTTGCCTGCCTTGACATTGTAACCTTAAAGTGGGAAGCATCTTTTTCTTTGTTCTGGAATAATGTATATCCGTTACTTGAAGCTTTGGTAGATTTTTCATGAAAACCCTCTGAACTTGGTATTTTTTTTTTTTTAGGTATAACTTTTCAATTCTTCTCTCATAGAATCAAATTTAGTCCTTCCTGGTTTTTTGGGTTTTTTTTTGAAGACATATGTTTTCTCTAGATATCAAATGTATTGCTTTAAAGATATTTAAAATATTGTTTAGTTCAGTTTCTAGTATATGTTTATAGTATATTTTTAAGTCTCTACATTTTTAGTTGTGTCATTTTTTTACTCTTAATATTAATTAAACTTTGACAAAACCCCTCACTTTAAGAAAATATCAAACTGGCCAAAGACTGGTTTATTTATTATGCTTTTCAAAGAAGGGGGTTTTTGTTTAATATGATAAAGCTTGCTGTTTTCTAGTTTTTCTGTTTAATTTCTGCTATTAACTACATTTACCACTTCTGTTTACTTTGGGTTTTTTTTAATTTCGTGTTCTCTACCTTGACTTTATTAGTTGTTTTATTTATTTTCAGTCATTCTTATGTTAAAATAAATGTATTTTAATGTGTAAATCTTTCTGTCAGTAATGCTCTAACCAGTTTCCATTGCTTTTTAACTGTATGTAGTAACTTACTGTCATTTATTTTTAAATGATTTAAACATTTTTGGGTTCAAATTTCTTTTTAAATTTTCTTTTTAGTTTTTTAAAAAATTTTATTAATTTATTTTTTCAAATACATTTGTCTCCACCTTCCCCCCATCACTTTCCCTTGCCCCCCTCCCCTCTCTCCCTCCCTCAATCTTTCCCCACTTTGGCTTTGTCCATGAGTCCTTGCTATATGTTCTTTGACTTGCTCCTTCCCTTCCTTTTCCCCCCGCCCACCCCACCCTCCCTAACCAACAAAACAAAGATGCAAGGAAAATATGACCAGCAACACTGAAAAAAAAAAGAAACCAACAGAGATAAATTTTCTTGAAAATAAATTTTATTTCTTTGCTTCTCCTTTTCTCATGCCCTCCTTTTAACTGCTTTTCTTTCTTATTTTAATCCTGCTGCTGTTGAACTTAAGACCCCATTGTCTAGAAAAAACTTTTGTTTATTACTAAAAAGGAAGAAAGAAAACACATTCAAACCATGATTGAGTGCTTTCTTATCATTCAGAATGTTTATGCTTATTGGAAGAGCCCTACAGGTTTTAATTCTGGTGCTTTTTATAAACTCTTACTTAAAATTTTTTTTATTTTTTTTAATCCTCACCTGAGGACATTTTTTCATGGCTTATAAAGAGAGAGGAAGGGAAGAAGAGAGAAAAGGAGGGAGGGAAGGAGGCAGGAGAGAGAGAGAGAGAGAGAGAGAAAGAGAGAGAGAGAGACATAGATTGGTTGTCTGTAATGGCAGCCCGGCTAGGGATTAAACTCGAAACCTAGGTATGTGCCTTGACTGGGCATTGAACCAGCAAACTTTGGGTGTACAGGATAAAACGCCAACCAGCTGAGCCACACTGGCCAGGGCCTTTCCTAAAATTTTCAATGAAAGGTCTTCAGATAATAATTATATCTCATCTTTCCATATTTCTTTCTCAAATGGTTCCTAAGTTGTTGATGTCTTATGTGATCAGAGTAATAACTATGCAAATAAAGTAAAATAAAAAGTTTGCTCAAACATAGGCAGTGACATCTATATTCCAACTACTAACTAGGTAATAGGAATTAATGCTATTATTGCAATATCAGAAATTTTTTAAAAATGCATATTTTAGAATTTATGAAATAGTATACATTGATGCTTATTTTATTTCGTTGTGGGAAGATAAAATATGACTTCTGTGTTCTGCTAACTTTTGAGACCTCCTCTATGTCTAATACATGGTCTATTTTTGTGAATATGCCATTTATTTTAAAAAACATGTGTAGCACAAGTTTATTGGGCACAAAAGTAAATAGGCCATTTAATTGTGGTATTTATGTCCTTTATAATCTTTCTTTCTTTTTTATTCCACTGTCAATTTTTGAAGGAAGTACACTAAACCATTCGTGATTTTGTGAATTTTTGTTTATTTCTATATTTAGATTTTTAATCATTTTAGATTTTTATATTGTTTTATATGGACACATCATGCTGTTAAATGTATTACTGTTTATCAGATTTTTCTTGAATTCTATTTATTTGATATTTATGTTGATATGTTGATTCATTTTTACTACTAGTATAACTAACATGAAATATAAATGTATAATAGAAAATATTTCTTTATTTTCTGTTGTTTATTATTCTTGGTTTGTATCTTGGAACAGTGTGAATATGATTTTCTTTGTTTTGTAAACTGAGTTTTTACATTTTTAATAAGAATTTTAGCATGTCATGGATATATAATAATTGATATGATTTGACGTACTTTCTATTTACCATTTTATTTGTTGTATGAGAAGCAGTAAACTAATTAGATACAATTATTTCCCTCATGGATCTTGTGTAATGGCCAGTATCTTAATTAACACTTATTTTTGTATATCATGTTACAGGTAAAAAGTACTTTTTATGTACTATTTATTTGTTCTTCAAAAATCTTCTCAAGGGCGATGTCCTTGAAAGGACAGAGAAATCAATAATATGGAGTTACAAAGTGGGTGTTTAGAGTAGAGAATTCGTTCTCAGTTTATTAAATGTGTGGTATACAACTTTTATATAGTTGCTCAGGAAAAACTCCATGAAACACATTATAATTATATTCTACAGTCACTTTTAATGAGCTTTACTATATGTAAAACAATTCCCCCTTGTGTGTGTGTGTATATATATATATACTCAGTTTTCTCTGTCTGACATTTTCCCTGGAGCAGAGACCGTAATTTTCAAATTAAACATAGTTTCTGTGATCATGGAGTTCGCCTTTGATGTAGAAGTTAAACACTGTGAGAGTAGTTCAAAATAAAGGCAAAATTGTCTCAGAACACATCTGAGCATTTCTTCTGTCCCGTTTCGTTCCCTCTGCCCTTCAGTTGGCCAACTTATGTGTCTTTAGTGATAAGTGTAGTACCTGGAACATTATAAGGGCTCAAGAAATGCCTGATGGATAGTGAATGAATGCCAAGTTCTGCTCTATAGCCTCATCAGTTACCACAGCTCCAACAAGGTTCTTGATTATATCATAAAGCTCATGATTTCTCAGTAATTGACTCCTGATATTGGGACTCAAAAACTCATGTTAATTGGCTTTTACAAGATGATTAAATGTTATAAATTTTATGGTATCTTCCGATAAGACAAGAAAAATTGGAATAAGAACTTTACTTTTTTTTCTTTTTTGCAAAATTCTTCATAATTTATAAACAGAAAAAGCATTAAGAAGAAAATATATAATTCTGGGCATATCAAGCCTGGGATATTTAAAAGAATAATAACACATTTCTTAGGGATTTTTTTTTGTTATATCTGGATGCACTTTTTTGTCTTAATTTATAATTTTGAGTGTATTTCTCTTTTTTTAAAAAAATTTTTTTATTTATTTATTTATTTTTAGAGAAAGGGACAGAGAAAGAGAGGGAGAGAAACATCAATGTGTGGTTACCTCTCACGTGTCCCCTACTGGGGACCTGGCCCACAACCCAGACACATGCCCTGACTGGGAATTAAACCGGCGACCCTTTGTTTTGCTGGCTGGTGCTCAATCCACTGAGCCACACAAGCCAGGGTGAAAGTATTTCTTTTTCATAAAGTATGTTTTTTGAAATATGTTCAGAAGTTTTAGAAACCTGAAAATTATTTTTAACGAATACATCTAAGGGAAATTTAAATAAATCCAGTAAGTAATTTTACTATAATGTTCTAAATGTAATTTTTTCACTTCACACAAAACAGTCATAACCTGCATTTGCACTTCAAAAATAGAAAATAATTGAAATTATTAATGAATTGGTTGTGTGTTTCAGTTTTTTTAGTTAAGGTATTTCTTTTTCATTTTTTGGGGGAGGTTAGTTAAAAGATTTATATTCAATGAGGAGGAAATTAGGCATTTCAATTATAGACATGAATTCCTCCTAATACACCAATATGTTTAACATAAAACAGAGCCTCAAGGTAAAGGTAATGATTCAGTTTGATTAAAAAAGGGGTTGGAGGAGCATGTGATTGTGTAAAGGAAAAAATCCACCCACTTGTCTTCTATTTGCTTTGTTCAGAAGGTAATGGTGACTTTGAAGAAGAAAAATATTCATTCATTATGTTATAGCCAGAGGGATGTTAATACATTTTCCCTTTTTTCTTCTAGCACACTGATTTATGTCAGTACATGGACAAGCACCCTGGGGGGCTACATCCAGATAATGTGAAGGTAGGAAAAGATCTTTTAAAGCCAAGTGTTAGCATTCTTTTTTGTTTTTTTAAATCATGTTTATTCTATTACAGTTGTCTCAGTTTTTCCCCTTTGCCCCCCTCCCCCCATCCCACCCTGTCCCCCTCACCCTCAGTCAATTCCCACTCTGTTGTCCATGCCCACGGGTCATCCATACATGTTCTTTGTTTAGTTCCTTCTTTCCACCGTTGTCCTCCTTCCCCTTCCCCTTTGGTCACTTTTAGTCTGCTCCATGTTTCCTTGCCTGTGGTTTATTTTGTTTGTTAGCATTCTACATGTATATTTTCTGAGCTAAAGTCTAATCTCTCTAAGATAACTTTCCCTTTTTAAAAAATGTTTGTGTAAGGAGAATATTGAAGTGAACCATAGCCATTATTTGTAGTTGAAAACTATGCTTTAACAATCAGATGTTTTCACTGGAACATTATAGTTTAGATCATATGTTTTTTCTTCATGGAGAAACATTCACCAATAATGAGTGAGATCCACTGGAATCCTACTGTACCACTATTTTTAGTAGAGGGGAATCTCAGGTAGCTCTGCCCTGGAACCCCATAATGTCTACCAGTTGGCTTCAATATAAAGTACCATTATGACCCCAAACAGTGTCATGGTGAGTTTATAGAGCATACTTCTCATTTGTATGTATAAACAGATAAAAATTGTTCTATTTCCAACTGCTCTCTTTCACTTCTTCTACTACAAATTGGATTACTATGTCCAAAGAACTAAGTTTTAATGATTTGACCTCAATTAACTTGGGAAATTGTCCCAAAATTTCAGGCTGAAAATAGAAGAGTCTTTTTTGGCTTATGTTAGGGAGTTAGAAGGGTTATATCCGAACGTCTAATGATATGCTCACATGTTGTAATTCTGTTGACTACATTTCATGACCCTGAGAATCAGCTGAGTACTATAGGTGTATCTGAAGTAAAATTGTCTCAGTTTCCTCTCATTCATTATCTGCACCCCTCTTTATAACAAGGCATAGTTTTCTCTTTTGTATTGCACTTTTCCCTTTGCTTGTAGAGGTGTATATGCTGATATGAGTTTTCTGTATTTATTTTTTGCTTCATAAAAACTATGTATGTATTATTATGTATGTTATTTTTAATTTAAAATATATCATGCATATCCTTTAAAATCAGTATGTGACTGTGTAGTTCAGTCTTTCTAATAACTGCATATTAGTCCACAGTATGGATAATTTTCAGTTGTTTCTTATAAACAGATCTTTGGGTTGTTTCTAAAATGTTAGTGGTGTGAATGATTTTAGAGTAAATACTAGTATAATAACACCTTTAAATTCTTAGTTATTTTGGATATCTAGTTAATGGGTTCTCAACTACATAAAGGACATGATTTCAGTTTTAATGAATTTGACTGGACTATTTTCCACAGGGTTATAAATTAAAGGAGAATTGTTTTTCTCTACTCTCACTAGCATTGACTTTTAACCAATCATTTTAATTTTTGCCATTCTGATGAGCAAAAATGGAATGACTACTATATTGGTGTTTTCTGCTAGTGACCATGAGCATTTTTAATTAAGTTTCTTGGCCATTTGTAATTCTCTTTTTATAAGGTGCTGTTTTCATATATTGTCCATTTTTATTGGGTTTCCCTTTTTCTTAATAAGTTACAAGTGCTTAATAATATGTGTGACATTGATAATGAGTGTGTATATGGTGGTCAGTTAAGTTATATAATTTTAAAACACGGGACCTCTGAAATACCTTGTTTTTTAAGTAAATAATAGAATTGATATGGCACTTAAAGTTTGTTGGCTTCTTTCATATACTTCCTTTTTTTAAGTTTTGTTTTATTGAAAGATTTCTTTTAAATTTTTTGACTATTCATTTTTATTCAAAATTTGTGTCCATTGACATAGTTTTTTTAGTAAGATTAGGAAAGAAAATTTATCAGATGAAGAGACTCTTTTTTATTAATCTTGCCCATGTTTAATAAACATTAATGTCATAATATGAGCAGAATTTTATTTTTTACAATTAAACATTTTACATTGTCTCGTTTATACATTAAATGTCTTCTTCCTCGAGTTGATTGGGTTCAAAATCAACAGTACGGTAACATCTGTAGTCCTGTTTCCCACTTTAAACCTGAGAATATATAGAGAGCCCCCTCAGTGAGCCCTTTTGCTCTGGGGAGCCCAGGGGACTAACAGCCTCAGTGGAAAGCAACATCTACTCTAAATTAATTTTGACTTCCTGACTTCCAAAGTCAGTGACAGGATTGAGATTAAAGAGCTGAATGAATCTTTTCAAAGAACAGTAGCATCACTGGATTGTTACTATTCTTGCCTGATTTTCTCTCCCACTATTTGTGCGTCATTAGTTTTGGACAAGTGTTAACAGAACATTTCTTGGGGAAACAAAGAAAGAAAGTCCATTCCACATAGAATTTCCATGTTCACTCTCCTCAGGCCACGGTCACTGGTGATTTTTGTAGCATTTGTAAGCGCGCGCCTTGAAATTGTATTTCAATGGCTCTTTTCAAGCTTTGTAAGCTTTTCTTTCACCCCACGGTTGTTTGTCATAGTTTAAGTGCTTCATGTTTGCTACTTAGTCCAAGTACAGGTTGTACTTTGGCAGTAAGTAAGATTTACTATTGCAAAGTTTGGTGCCCTTTAGGGCGTGGTGAAAAAACGAAATGGTGAATGAGATGTGCAGTCAGCAGAAAAATAATGTCACAAAAGTTAAATGCAACACCAACAGTGGGTCTATATTAGTCATACAGAGCAGGAAGTATTCCTTGTTCCCATGCAGAAGTTGTTTAATGTGGTCACAGATTGATGTCCTACACATGTTTTGCTTCTGAAAGAGCATGATGTGATTTACTTCTTACATTGTTTTGAATAACTGAAAGACAGCAAAATATGTTGATATATGGGTATTCCTTTCCTCGTAGCTATGGAAATCCTGGTGCCTTGAGGATTTGCCAAAATGCACTGGACAGCCTCAGTTCTTGGGTACATGAAAGAAGCCTCAGTAGCTGTCCAAGAGGTCTTCAAATTTGGCTTTACAGCAGTCGCCTGCAAAGCTTTAATACACACACACACTCATTTCCCAAAATCAGAATCAAATTTTTTAAAAAGTCACTGAAGTAGGCAAAGGTAGGCATAGGCATTTGCTCAGACTCCCGCCTGAGAGCCCAGGGTTCCTCCCAGGACGCACAGGCTCCCCCCACTTCCCTGTGGCCCTGCCCGGCTCTGCCCTCAGCCTAGAGTTCTTGTGTGCTTGCTGGCAGTTGCGGCCTGTTGCTCCCTCACAGCCTCACAGCCTGCCGGCCTCCACTGCTCCTCACTCTGCAGCCAGGTGGTGGTAGCAGGGTGGCCCGGAGTATGGCAAGGCTGGGCAGGTGGGAGGGGTTAGGCGAGAGCACGAGAGACAGGAACAGCATGTAGCACTTCAAAAAACAGGTGTCAGACCCATGCCACAAGGCAGAAAATTATAAGCATCTTTTGTGGAGAATCAGATCAGTCCAAGAGAACAGACCTGCAGAATTTAGGAAACTACAGTGAAGATCCCAGTTGGCAAATGAGTAATTTGGGCAAAGGAAAGTTTCTTGCATTGATTAGGTAGATAAGGAGAGGAGAGAACACTTTGAAAGAAATTATAATGAATATTCCCAAAGAGGTCAAAAGAAAAGAATACATATAAAATAAGAATATGTTATTTTTAAAAAAGAACTTAGTGAACAAAAGTAGCTTTGGATATTGGGTTGACCAAAAAGTTCATTTAGTTTTTTTCATACAATGACTCGAATAGTGCTTAGTTGTCTTTAAATTCAGTCAAAACAATTTTGTTAGATTGTTATTGTGGCAGCTGTCATATCGGCTTGCATTTTTTAAAAATCTTATCAAAATGGATGAATTTTTTTGCAGCCATTTTAATATTGGAGATGGAAGAAAATGTGCAACATTTTCAGTGTATTATGCTTTATTTCAAGAAAGATAAAAACACAACTGAAATGCAGAAAAGGATTTATGTAGTATATGGCAAGGTGCTATGACTGATTGAGCATGTCAAAAGTGCTCAATCAATAGTACCAGAAGTTTCTTGGTACTATTGACATTCTTGCCAAGTAATTTTCTTTGCTGTGGGGCCGTCTTGGAAGATATTCAGCAGCACCCCTAGCCTCTAATAGGGAGGTAGACGACATACTCAAAGTATCCAAATCAATAAAGTTATTGGTGAAAATGAAAAATGTGTCTTTTATTTTATGGAAAAAACTAAACAGACTTTTTGGCCAATCCAATAGGATGATAGAAATTAAAATGACAAAAATAAAAAAGGATGAAAGATGAAGTTTGAAGAAGTTTGCCAGAAAATAGAGCATAAAATACAAATCTGGAAAATGAGAGAGAATCAGTAAATCCCAAAGTCCAGTCCAGGAAATCTAACATCTGAACAGTTGGAGAAAATAGACAAGAGGGAATCATTTAAGTTAAAGTCATTAAAATACATTTTTTTAAGATGTGAAGGATGTGAATTTCAAGATTAAGAGAGTCCACTAAATGCCCAGAATATTTAATAGAATAGACTGGCAATAATGTTCATTACTGCAAAATTTAGAACACTGTTTTCAAAGAAAAGTCGTACATACAGGATACACATTTACTACAAAGGATCAAGAATTACAGTGGCAGTAAACTTTGCAACAGCAGCTCTGGGAGACGGCAGACAATGGCTTGAAAATTCTAATGTAAATTACTTCTAACCTCATGTTCTATACAAACTGTCAGTGGAGAGTGAGGGTAAAATAAATATTTTCAGATGTTCAGGAGTTGGAAAATTTGCCTACCTTGCATTTTTTCTCAGGCCGCCACTTAAGCATGTACTCGACTAGAATTCAGCATAAACCAAGGCAGAGAAAATAAAGAAACCAGGCACCAGAGGCCACCCCAGGAGAGAGGTGAAGGGAACCCTGAGGACAGTGATGGAGGGAATCCCAGGATG